AGCTCAAATTCATTTCTTTATCTAATAATGACGAACATTTTGTGGATTTTCAGATAATCTTGTATCGCTCACATGAATGCTAATCTTTCTATTGGTAATTTTCCATGTTTGCCAGTAAGGCGAAGTACAGAACACTACACTGCAAGAAAGCACAATAAATATCGTCCAAGGGAGTGAGATAGCAATACCAGCGATAGCGAGACCAAGTAGTCTTTGGTCTTCGATGAGATCACGATAGAAGCAAACATAGGATAGGGMGCTCAGTTGAACAAAGACTGTGATGTGAGCTAGAATKGATGCAATCAACCATCCAACGTCTTCAATGGACATAGGAGGACAGGCCCACTMAAAAATACACATGAACGAGTTACAATAAACCCTTTTGGCGATCTCTGCTGTGTATTGTAGCCTCAAAACCATGTAATAAATAGAGGATATTACATGGGCGCGCGGAGATACGGATTTTATCTTCGAGAGTTGAAAAGTTTTCTCGCACGAGTGAGCGTAGCGAGAAGATAAAATTCGTATCGCCAAGCGACCATGTAATATTCTGTTTATCATAAAATTACATATGAAAGCAAATTAAGTCGTAAAATACTTTTCTTTCTTACTTTTATATAGAGAAACCTCAAATGTGTTATCTTCACTAGTGAAAAACTAGTGAAAATAACAACTTTACGTAATGGAGAAATACAGGTATTTTCTAGACAATTATATGATAAAGTCATTTATCATATAATTATATATGAAATACCTATATTTCTTAATTTCGTAAAGTTGATGTTTTCACTAGTGAAAATAGTTAGCAGTTTTGAATTCTTCTAGTTTTGAATTTCACGAGTTTTATTTTAAATTCATGAATATTTTGCAAACACAATTGAGGCTAATAAGACAGCGTAGAGTAGATCGCGAAACTCAACTATGGAATTATGGGCAGTACCATACAAAATACAGTCGAACCTCTATTTAGCAATCACCCTCCACTAAGCGGTCACTTACTAATTTCGCCAAACTTGCTTGAACCACTTGCATGGTTAACGCCATGAAAGTGTAAATTCTTTGGAAAACTACAGTTTTCGAAATCATCATCTTTAGATTTTACCTGATGTATTGGCTTGTAGGATTTCGTCCAAGTGGCATTGAAATGGTAATTACAGATTCTGCAGGTGTCTCGTTTAGTTAAAGTAAGCCATAATTCGACACATTCCCGGTGTACTAGCCCCAGGGTACCCTTACACAAACACGGCTGAATGAAACCACCTTTGTCTTTCGGGTCGTCGCCATGACAGATTCTACAAATCGGCGACRTATCTTCCATTGGGATATTCGCATCTACGGACGATGCTTGTGATGCCTGGTTTGATATGTTTTCAACAGTAGTCGACATTTAAGCAAATTGATAGATAAAGAACAAGTTAGTTAACATCCACGCACTTTTTCTTTCTTCATAAAGTAATCAAATGACGTAAACAATCAAAGTTAACGAAGAAATGAGCGCGCGCGTGAATGCGCGCGCAAATTTCAGCGCGGATCCGTTGTAAGCACACAGGAAGACCAAGAATTAAAATCATCAATAATAGGAGGACCATTGTTGACAAAATTTTGCTCATTGCAATTCTTCGTTTTCACTATACGTCACAGCGGCCATCTTGGAGGACTTTAACAAAGGATTTCTCATTAGTATCTATTGTTCATTCCTCCAACATGGCCGCCGGTCTTTATAATTTGAATCTCAATGGAATGGTTGAAAACGATCAATAGGGTTTGAAATGTGTTGTGTGGCAAAAATAAAATGAGCACGCATTTCTAAATAAGGTAAGATTACCATATATGGCTGGTAAACGAACGACAACATGTAAGATAATCCTTTGAAATGGTATTCCATTTTGTTGACAAATATCCACAGACAGAACGCAAATTGATGAATTGGTACTTTTAATTTTATATCATAAATTAATTACTGACTTAAATATTTGAATGATTTGATAAAGAGTATAGTATCTAGATGAATCTACTCCATTAAAAGGCTCTATTCTCTTTGGCTGCTATCAAAGATTTGCTGGTATCTTTTAACTCTAATGATCTAAATTAATTTCTAATCAATTTCAAATGTTTTTTCTTATCTAGAGTATGAATAACAGGAAGCTAAGCGTATCAGTCAACAGTACAATATCAATTTTAATGTCTTCTTCTAATATTGGTGCAAAATATTGAATGCTTCGTAGAAGGGCGTATCCCAAGGGGTGTTAGTTGGCTGGATATCCCCCCAGCCATCCTCCCAATCATTATGTTGGAGTGATTTACATTTTTCATCCTCCCAAGGGTTTGACAATACAGAAATAGTAACGATGATACAAATGAATAAAAGAAGAGACTGAATCTAAATGGGACTCATCCTGAAAAAAATAACTTAAGCAGCGCTTTTATGTCTGAGAAAAATTTCATTGGTCACACCACCCATCTATCCATTTAATATTTTTTTCCTTGAGTTAGACACAGAGGTACAAAGAAAAATTTTAATTATTCTACAGTAATTCTACGCTTTCCATTCTGGGAGACATGGTGAATTAATTGATGATGTTTTCGAGAGATACCAAATACCTTCACTTTAAATAATTGATGTCCAAAAACAGAATTGATAGACCACAGAATCATATCTAAGGTGATATTACTTTAGCCTGGGGACAGCAAAGTCACATTGTGATTTTCGCAGTGATATCAATAGAATACGAGGAAATATTCACTAGATACAACTTTGAGCTTACTTTGGCTTTMTTTTGATCTTATCATTGAATTTATTCTAGACTAGATATATTTTCATTATTGCTAAGTTTCTTTTGTGTATTTTTTTTATTTTGTTTTTAGTTGGGTCTAGCTATTTTATCTTCCTTTGTTGGCTCCCCCTATTACATGAATTCCAGTCTTTCTTTTGACTGGTTTTATTTCGTTCTAATTAGTTTTCTTTTCCCAGTTTATCTTTTGACATCCCATATCATTTAATTCCTTTCTGCTCATCATTTATATGTTTTTTCATTCTTCATGTTTTTTCCATTCGCTTTTTTTTAATTATCATTTTAACGATCTAGTTCTTTCGCCTATAGCGGTWCACTTTCGCCGGCTTTTCCTTTTGGCCTAAACAATTAGTTTCGAGAATAAGACCATTAAGGTACGGCGCGCAAATCACCTGKTAATGTTAAAGCCATTAGAGTAACCAAATACAATACTAGACAACTTCTAAAGGATTCTAATTGAAATCTCATAGAGAAATTTCAACAAAACTGCACACTTGCGTGTGACCAATTTAAATAASMTCTGTTTTTCACTTGACTAGACACATAAACATTCTTCATAAATGAGATCTTATGGAGTTATAACCATGATGAGACTTCTTCTACCGTGATCCTCTGCGCGCTTCGTTTATAAT